GTCGACATCGGCGTCGGGGTCTTGGTCGGCGTCGTGCTCGGCGTCGTGCTCTTCGTCGGCGTCGGCGTCGGTGTCGTCAACGTCGTCGTCGTCGTCGTCGTCGTCGTCGTCGTCGTCGTCGTCGTCGCCGTCGGTGTCGGCGTCGGCGCCCGCGTCGGCGTCCTTGTCGGCGTCGTGATCGGCGGCGTGCTCGGCGACGTGCTTGGCGTCGTCGGCGTCGGCATCGGCGTCGGCGTCGGCTTCGGCGTCGGCGTTTCGTGCTAGGCGTCGTCGTCGTCGTCGTCGGGCCCTGCGTCGGCGTCGGTATCGTCCCTCGTCCGCAGCGTCCTCATCGTCGTTTGTTCCCGGAGCCTGCGGTGCCGACGCTGACCGTGTCGAGTCGTCGTCGTCGTCGTCGTCGTCGTTCCGTCGTCGTACCTTTTCCTCTTCTTCCTCGTTCCTGTCCTCGTCCTCGTTTAGTCGGCGCTGTGGGTGCCCCCGCTGCTGTTGTGTTGTCGTCGTCGGTCGTCGGTCGTCGGTCGTCGGTCGTCGGTCATCGGTCGTCGGTCGTCGGTCGTCGGTCGTCGATCGTCGTCGTCGTCGTCGTCGTCGTCGTCGTCGTCGTCGTCGTCGTCGTCGTCGTCGTCGTCGGCGTCGGCGTCGGGCTCGCCGTCGTTGTCGGTGTCGGCGTCGGCGTTGTCGTCGGTTGCTTCGGCGTCGGCGTCGTCGTCGTCGTCGTCGTCGTGGTCCACGTGGGCGTCGGATTCCGTGTCGGCATCGGCGTCGGCGTCGGCTTCGGCGTCGGCGTCGGTGTCGGCGCTGGGCGTCGTCGACGTCGTCGTCGTCCTCGTCGTCGTCGTCGTCGTCGTCGTCGTCGTCGGCGTTGGCGTCGGCGTGTGCGTCGGCGTCGGTTCCCGCGTCGGCGTCTTTGTCGGCGTCGTGCTCGGCGTGGTCGGCGTCGGCGTCGGCGTTGGCGTCGTCGGTCGTCGTTGTCGTCGTCATCGGCGGCGTGCTTGGCGTCGTGTTCGTCGTCGTCGTCGTCGTCGTCGTCGTCGTCGTCGTCGTCGTCGTCATCGTCGGCATCTTCGTTGGCGTCGAGCTCGGCGTCGGCATTTGCGCCGCAGTCGGCGTCGTTGTCGGCGTCGTCGCTGGCGTCAGCGTCGTGCTTGGCCACGTGCTCGGCGAGGTCGTCGTCGTCGTCGTCGTCGTCGTCGGCGTCGGCGTCGGCGTCGGGCTCAGCGGCGGTGTTGGCGTCAGCATCGTTGTCGTCGTCGTCGTCGTCGCCGCCGTCGTCGTCGTCGTCGCCGCCGTCGTCGTCGTCGTCGTCGTCGTCGTCGTCGTCGTCGTCGTCGTCGTCGTTGTCGTCGACATCGGCGTCGGGGTCTTGGTCGGCGTCGTGCTCGGCGTCGTGCTCTTCGTCGGCGTCGGCGTCGGTGTCGTCAACGTCGTCGTCGTCGTCGTCGTCGTCGTCGTCGTCGTCGTCGCCGTCGGTGTCGGCGTCGGCGCCCGCGTCGGCGTCCTTGTCGGCGTCGTGATCGGCGGCGTGCTCGGCGACGTGCTTGGCGTCGTCGGCGTCGGCATCGGCGTCGGCGTCGGCTTCGGCGTCGGCGTTTCGTGCTAGGCGTCGTCGTCGTCGTCGTCGGGCCCTGCGTCGGCGTCGGTATCGTCGTCGTCCGCGCGTCCTCATCGTCGTTGTTGTCTTCGCTGTCGGTGCCGACGCTGTCGTGTCGTCGTCGTCGTCGTCGTCGTCGTCGTCCGTCGTCGTCTTTGTCCTCTTCGTCCTCGTCCTCGTCCTCGTCCTCGTTGTTGTCGGCGCTGTGGGTGCCCCCGCTGCTGTTGTGTTGTCGTCGTCGGTCGTCGGTCGTCGGTCGTCGGTCGTCGGTCATCGGTCGTCGGTCGTCGGTCGTCGGTCGTCGATCGTCGGTCGTCGTCGTCGTCGTCGTCGTCGTCGTCGTCGTCGTCGTCGTCGTCGTCGGCGTCGGCGTCGGCGTCGGCGTCGGCGTCGGCGTCGGCGTCGGCGTCGTGCTCGGCGTCGGCGTCGGCGTCGGCGTCGGTGTCGGCGTCGTCGTCGTCGTTGTCGTCGCCGTCGCCCCCCTCCCCCCTCGGGGGTTCGAACCAGGGGGGGGAATCGAACACGTGGGGGAAGGGGGGGCTCTGACCCCCCCGCGACCCCCCCGGTTTCGGGCGAGGGGGAGCTCCGCCCTCCCCCCCTGCCTGTGAACCTAGGGGGGGTCTCGGTGGGCGGGTGGTAATTTTTGTCCGAGCAAGCGCCCGTGAAGCTCGCTCTCTCAAAGATGATGACGAGATTGAGGAGGATGATTGCGGTGATGAGGGCGAGAGGGACGAGGATGATAGTGAGGATTATGGTGAGGACTTTTTGGTGACGGCTATGAGGTCGAGGATGAGAACGAGGATGAGAACGATAAGGATGAGGAAGGAGCAGGGGTAGCTCGGAGATGCAAGCCGAGATCCTGGCTGCACTCCCGAAACGGAATAGCCAGCCAGCCCCCGCGGAAACAAGGAGAACAACGTGCAGCCGGTCCAGCTGCCAGTAGTGATCTGCGGAGACATTCATGGTACTGTGCCCCACCTTCTGCGCTGGCCTCATTCTCATTTTCATGTTCACTGACACCGATCCCGGCCAGACAAATCCTTGGCCCAGTATCAATGTGTACCCCTCCCGGACCAAGCCAGGTGGCTGTGTACACAAGTTTTTACCCAGGATGGGCCTAGCCAGGATCGGTGTTGGTATATTGGTGGCATCATACTATCAGCAAGTGCTGTTTCGACTTTTGGTCGCACCAGAGGGTCGAACCTCCATAACGCCCCCCAGACCTCTTCTGGGGTGCATTCTGGCCAGATGTTTGAGACTTTGCTCTCCGCGGTCCTTTCCCAGCGAATGTTCCTTCTCCTGCTCCTTCTCCTCCTGACGCTCATGCTCCTCCACTCATGCTCCTCCTCCCTTCTTCTCTTTCTCCTCCTCATCCTCCTCCTTCTGTGTTCTTCTCTCGCTCCGCCTCCCTCACTCTCCTACCGCTCCTCCACCGCCAGCATGTTCGGCAAACGTCGGGGGAGCACCATGACAGCCCTCCCTCTTTCCTCCCTCCCTCCTCCCCCTTCCCTCCATCCGCCCTCCCTCTCTCCCTCCCATCCTTCTTCTCCCTCACACAGGTCTTGCTCACCTGTAACGCCCATTCGGCTCCTCGCCGGGCGCCTCAGTCGAGTGTCACCCTCAGCGTGTTTCACACCACACCGATCAATGTTCTGGCCCCGCGCACTGCTGGGGAGGAGGACCCGCGCCGCCTCCCTACGGGCTGCTGTTCTGTTCTGTTCTGTTCTGTTCTGTTCTGTCCTTCTCCCTCCTCCCTCCTTCTCTTCCTTCCCCCTCCTTCGGACGGGGCTAGGAGTAGGATACTTCCGTTCCAGAGCGTTTCGGAACGCGCTCAGAGCGTTCTGGAACGCAGTCAGAAGGCCGCGGCGCCCGAGACATCCTCCAGAGCCGCCAAATCTGAGAGATTCTTTCTTTGACCTCATCCGAGTTTGTCCTCGTCCTGACCTCGCCTTACCTCTTCTTCTCTTCCTCCCTCCTCCCCCCCCCCTCCCCGAGGCCCCCCCCCAGAGATCCCAGGAGGCCCCTGGAGGTCCCCGGAGCTTCCCTGGAGTGGGGCGCCAGGCCCGGCTCGTCTTCCGCGCGGCGGAGGTCGGGGGCGGAAAAGAGGGGGGTGATGACTAGGGGGGGGTGGATATCATGGCGTGGGCCATGATATTTCCCCAGATTTCATGGCGCCTCTTCTTATTTCATTACGTCCCTGGCCCCCCCGCTGGGCCGCGCACATGCCGCCGGTCATGATTTGCACCCCCCCCTCTTGGACACCCCCCTCTTTGCCGCTCCCGAGGAGGGCGCACGCATCGGGCTGGCCCCAAAGGAGTGCGGTGCCGGCTCGCCAGGCGAGGCCAGGCCCGCGCGGTGGCGCGCACGGCTGGACCACCTGCAGGCGTGGCCGGAGTGGCCTCCGGTGCGGGCCCGTGGGGCCCCTGCCCGATCTCGCCGACTGCGACGCGAGGACAGCGTCTGGCGCGCTCGTGTGTGGTCCCGCCGCGGTCGGCCGGAGTGGCCTTTGTATTGGGCCCCTGCCCGATCGCCAGATGCGACGCGAGGACAGCGTCTGGCGCGCTCGTGTGTGGTCCCGCCGCGGTCCCCCCGAGGGCCGCGCAGCCAAGGGCACTCGTGCCCAGGGTCGCCCAATATCCGAGGGTTTTTTTGGGGGGGGCAGCGTCAGGGGGGATAATTAGGCTGTTCGAGTGGGAGGTCGACTGCGGGGCTGATTTTTACCCCCGAATTGTTTTTCCGTCGAGTCTAGGCTCAGAGTCAGGGATGGGGGGATATAGTCGGGGGTGGACAGAACCCCCACCCTGACACGTCGATTAGTGAATTGTCCGTTTTCGGTTCTCGAGAGGGCGCCGCGGCCGTCATTTTTCCAGGCTTGCGCCCGCCAGGTTTGGGCCCGAGGTCGTATTCACTAAACCACGTTTTACTAAAGGGGGTTCTGTCCATCCCCGATATAGGCGTGGGGCAATGCATCGACCCTAAATCGTCCACTATTCGCCGAGGGGGCCCGATGGCCCCACGCCGCCCAGGGACGTGCGGACTCGCTATCGAGGCCTCCCGCCGATCTGTCGGCTGTGTATCGCCGATTCCAGGTCGATGGCTCCCCCTCTATGCCAGCCCCCCCTTTGCGTTGCCCCCCTTAGACTCTCGGGGTCGTCCAAGAGGGGGGTGATGTCCAGGGGGGCGTGGATATCATGGCCAGGGCCATGATCTCTGCCCGGATTTCACACGGTCCCTGGGCGCTCCCCGGGCCGCGCACATGCCTCGGCAACGATTTGCAACACCCCTCCTCGGACGCCCGGGGTGGGTGCACCGGCCCCCAATCGCCCATCGATCGCCGATGCGGGCCCGATAGCCCACCCCGCCCAGGACCCTACGGTCTTGCTGTCAGGGGCCCATCGCCGATCTATCGGCGGCGTATTGCCGATTCCAGCTCGAGGTCCCCCCTCCCCCTGGGCTTGGCATCGCTCGGACGTGTGCATTTTTTCCTTCGGCGAGGACCCTCGGGGAGCCTCCTTGATCATTTCGCAAAAAGCCCCACGCACGAAACCGGACAAAACACAGGGAGTGGACGTCCGAGCGATGCCCAGGGGGCGGGTCTGAGGGACTTGGTCGCATCTTCTGCTCACGATGCCGTCTTCGTTTCGCCGTGCCGGATCCCGGGAGGCTGCAGCGGGGGAGGTTCCGGGCCGCTCCCGCGTGTAGAATTGCGCACTGGCGGAGTGCAGCGTGCCGTGGCCTGTTGGGCCACCGCGTGCCCACTGCAGCAGGGTGAGCGGGAAACGCGTGTGCTGCTGTCGCGTTGCAGACGTTGGGCGCTGGCTGGTGCTCGTCTGGCAGGGTTTGGGCGATGCGAGGTGGGTGCTCCCACGTCTCAGCTGGTGGGTAGAGCCCCGGATCGCGCAGATACCAAAAATCATGTGTTCGCGATTCACGGGATGAGGGAATAGATGAATCCGGTAGCGTCGCATTGTTGTTCAGATCGTCCTTTGTTTCCTTATTCGCGATGATAGAGGAGGGGTAGGACGGACACGGGCGGGCGAGGAGTAGGGAGGGAGGTGAGGGAGTGGCAGGGGCTCATCCTCTCTGTCCTGTTCTCGTCCTCATTCTCTTCCGCCCATCCCCCCCCGACCACCGCCGCCATAGCTCGTTTTGTCTTCCAGCTGGTCTTGCCACTCGGCCCTGTGTTCACAGGTGTAGTTGCATAGACGCGGCCACTCGCTCGCGTCTTGCGGCAGTGCCAGGCTCGCTTCGCCTCAGACTGACTGGCCGCTTCGCGCTTCGCCGGCGTGCTCTGCCAGCTCCTGCCCGGCCAGGCCAGTTCTTTGACCTGCTCGAGCTGTTCAGAATCGGAGGCTGGCGCCTTCTTTTGCTGCAGGGAGGGCTCGCGATGCCATGACCAGGGAGCACGAGGGTTGGGCGCTCCTCTCTCCTTCTCTCCTTGGGAGGGGGGGCCTGCGCCGAGTGTGCAGGCGCGTGTGCGCACAGGGGGAGGTAGCACACCACGTCGCGGGTCTGGTATGGCTGACGCCGCCCGAGGAGGGCGGGCCCCCGACGAGGAGGAGGGGGAGGAGGGGGAGGAGGAGGATGAGGAGGAGGAGGAGGAGGAAGAGGAGGTAGAGGCTGTGGATGAGTACGATGGCGATGGTGATGACGCTGCTTCTGATGATTGTATTGTGCATGATGGAGGTCTGATCAAAATGCGACGGACGCCAATTACTGCTGTGCTGCGTCTTTGTTGTTGTTGATGATGATGACGACGAGCACGGGGACGAAGGGGACGAGACAACATGCTGATGTTGTTGATGACGGTGGTGGTGCTCATGACGATGATGGTGATGATGATAATGGTGATGCTGCTGATGATTGATGCTGCTGATGATGATGATGATGCTGACGTGGTTGTTCTTGTTGTTGTGGTGGTGGTTGGTTGGTTGGTTGGTTGGCTGGTTGATTGGTTGGTTGGTTTTAGGTTGCTTGGTTGGTTGGTTGGTTAGTTAGTTGGCTGTTTGTTGTTGGTGTTGCTGTTGTTGTTGCTGCTGCTGCTGCTGCTGCTGTTGTTGTTGTTGTTGTTGTTGAACATTATTTATTCTAAAGAATAATTATTGTTGGGCCCCCTGGTGCGCGCCCCCCCTGCGCCGCCTAGGCCGCAGCTACATTTTCATCATTTTCGTGAGGAAGCCTCAGAAAAGAGGGTGTGTACAGGATCCGGTTGTTTTGTTGTAATCCGCTTTCCCTTGCAAAAAACAATAGAAAATGACATTTCTTGTTCTAATATAATCAAATTTCAAGAATCCCTTGCAAAAAATAAGGTAAAGTGGACATTCGCGCGCGCAAGACGAAATCCTTCCAAAACCTTAGTGTTCGCAGCGATTTTAACATAAAAACATCAAAAAACCAATGGTTTTTCAACAAAAAATTGTCAAAATCTCATCCCGCGCGCTCTTGCGGATTCGTAGGAAACCCAACACTTTTTAAACATTTCTGTCAAACGGGCTTTTGCGAGCAACTTTTTCGAACTTCTGCGACAACGGTTGCGCACCTGCCAGGGCCATCATCCCTGTCAAATAATACCATGCGGGACACATTCGTTTTTTCTTCGCGCGCGCACGCCGAAATCTCCAAAAACCATTGGGTTCTTAAGAATTTTAGCACCGCGCATCATAAAATCACACGAATCGCACCGTAGGTCCTCGAAAAACACCTGCACGACTTTTCAAAATTTCTACCCGCGCGCGCTGTCCGAATCCTAAAAAAAACCAATGGTTTTCCAACATTTATGTTACATGAGCTCGCGCGAGCTACTTTCGCACGCTCTTGCAACGGGGTTCGCGCGCCTGCCAGGGGCCACAATCCCTTGTGTATCATGTACCATATGCATCATATGCAACAGATGTTCTGTGGAAGGCTTA